ATCCAATGTATAATTTATTAGTAGAGATATATGAACTATTCGAATTCGATTCGATTCAACTTTAAAAATCTATATGATTTGAATTTAAATTATTTAAAAATTTCGATTCGAGAAAACGTTCGAGTCACGTATAATGGCAGACTTATAAAATTATATTTTATTGTTTTTCTATTGAATTTAACTTTATAATAATTGTGTTAATTTAAAGTTATATTAATCGATAATTTGATTTAAATCAGATTTGACTTGATTTCGGGCGAAATTTTGTCAAAGTTTGATTCGACGTTAAAAATTCACGATTTGCATATTCTAACTGCTTGTAATTAAACTAGCTAAAAATATCGATTCTTTTCACAATAATATTTTTCCCGATGTGTTTCTCCTTTTAACTTTTATCGCTTTAATTGTCATCTTCGTAGCTCTTAATTCTCACATATCTGCATTTCTTAAAAAGACAGATTTGGATATACATCTTTCTTACCACCATTGAATCTCAAACTTTCGGTCTCCATCAAAATCATATCTGCACTAAAACTAAAATAATCATTTTGAAAGCCAGGCGATTCGCAAAGCGAATCGCCTAGCACAGGAACGTGCAGGAGGATCCTCTCGAAAGACTTCTTTTACGCTGCATCTTCTGTGTATCCTTTCGATATCGAGCCGGCTCAACAGGTCAAGCTCGAGAAGAAATAACACACAGGGTGTCGTTAAAACTTTCATTCGTTATTCGAGAAACTATGTAAGCGCGATGTGCGGCTGGACAAATGTTCTTATAGTTATAATTGTATAATTACGAAAACATATTACACTTGCGACACGTTTGCATCATGTATGCAGAGCGTTCCAGAAACTAGATCGATGATCCTATCCTTTATTTACGAATGATCCATGACCAATTTGGAGTTCGCAGATGAACGGAGACTCGTTACATCTCTGTTATACAATTTGTTATACAAATTTTTTTTTAACGGAGACTATACTGACCGATTGCGAGTGTTAAAACGACGACGATCTCTGATTTGAAATTCATACTCTTGTAGTCTTTCGACTCAGCGGACACTTTGTGAATTTTTAAAAGTTAAGCTCAGGGAAACTCGCTGTCCCCGAGGCTTTAGCCAGTAAATTTGGAAATCTTTCTTAAAATTGCGCGAATAGTCATCGAGGGCGCGCAAGTACTTGGGATTCTAAGTTCGCGGAATGTGTTTGGGTAATCGCCGTATT